ACCTCATAGCCACTATATTAACTATACGCTGAGGTTTTCTCTGAGAGTATTTCCTTACTATTGCCTCGATATCTTTATTTCCCTTGTCTGTTGCTCAGTAAAATAAAGATATGTTTTAGAGATGTGCCAAAGAGATAAAATTCCAGTGTGGGATGTGACTTGTTCCAGTTCATCACATTCTAAATAAAAGCTAATCACAGAGCTCATACTTGCATTTCTATTTCCCCCCATATTTGGGAGCAAGAAGTGGGGAAGAGGTGGCACATCTTAGTGTCAGACTGATCATTCTCGTTGCCACTTTCTGTTTAGTAAGTGTGTTTTACACAATGTTGTATCAAAATAAATGTTGCATGTTACATCGTGCTGCATGATATTTGTAAATGTTGACTGAAATACTTTGAAAAACTCTTTGAAAAGAGTTTCATGAAGTGAATATAATATTTTTAGTGACAAATAGCTTTTAACTGCAGAGATTCTTAAATGCTTCTGTTCTATTTTGACTTATTTTTAGTTGGACTCATTTCTGAGACAGCTGTTTTCAAATTAAATTATATCTGTGTATTAACACTTTTAGCATAAAATAAATATTTAACATATGCTATTTTAACCTGAGGCACATTGACCTGCTTCAGATTATCTAGGATGCTCTGTTAAAGCCGTGAAAAGCTTTAACATGATGAGGATTCTATCTTTCTGTAATTGCAGAATGAAGGTAAATTTCATCAACAGAAGGCTTGTACTGCTGGTGAACTTAGAACACCAGGAATTGCTATATAGGTGATAAGGGTTGGGAACTAGTGCATTAAGTACAATTTTTTATGGTCTTGCCCAAGGCTCCTGAAATAATAATAATAATAAAAAAAATTGCTATTGTTTTTAGGGGTTGATACAACAATCAGTTCTATGCAGATTTTGGAAACACAGCAAAAAATTGACAGTCGTTATTGTAGTAAAAGACTACAGTGCAGGTGGGTGAAATGTGCATTATACTATATTAGTGTAAATCAGATACAAATTGAATAGCAGTAATGTGGCAATGGTGCCTTGTCCTTTCAAATATTTTGATAAATTTCCATTATGCTTTTCAAAGCTTAGTTTGAATGTTTTAAGGAAGACTTCTTGCATTGTCATCCATTATGTGTTCCACTTATAAAATCCATGTGTCATTTCCATATTTATGCAGTCAAACCTTCCTGAAATCCTTTGTGCACTAATGTTGTCATTTTTATTGTCATTTAGGTCTGGAAATTACAGCTATGTTATTCCCATTAACAAATACACACCCACTAATGTAAAAATCTCACTGGAAATAAAGTAAGTACAATCAATATACATGTGTCCAAAGAGAAAACATAGTTTATGCTTTATAATGAAATTATTTTCTGCCTGATTTTTATTCATTCGCTACTGTTCAAGGGCCAGAGCAAAGTCTCTTTAGCACTCCAGTTGTGGACATATATAGTGTGGTGTAACTTCCATTTAACATCAGTTTGCACACTGATGTAAGTTACAAGGGTGTCTATTGTGGACAGATGACTTCCTTTTCTTGTGTTGTCTGCAGTAGTTATTATAGCACCTTAGCTTTAGGTACTTGGCAAGCTGGTAATAGTCTGTTTACACTGAACTAAATGCCTACCCTGGAAATAAACTGACTAGAGCTATGGGCACGTGACCTGTACACTGGTGTTAAATTTACACTGTGAATAGTTGCTTTCAACTTCCCAAGTAGTAACTTTACCCAGCATGGAATAATGTATGCCTTCAGTGGCACTTAATTATTCATAAAGCTACTGTAGATATTCATAAAAAGGGTGAATTTCACCCACTCAGGTAGATGTTGAAATCTAGTTGTATTATCTTCCAATACTATATCGGCTGATGATTTAGCCTTGATTAGGGTTGATTTTGTCTTGAACATGAGGTTGGACTAAATGACTTAATGAGGTCCCTTCCATCCCTACTTTTCTGTGATTGAGATAATTAAACATACAGGAGTTGTGCTCCTGTAGTTGATTGGGGCCTTTGCTTATTGTGTTTTTCTAATGTAGAAAAATATATGTAAAAAGCAATTCCTTTCCCAGCCTAACTTACTAGGTCAAATTTTTTGGGAAGGCCTTTGCATCTGTACAGAGCCCATACTGATCTATGCAAATGGCTCACAGGTTCTCTGATAACACACACGATAATAATAACTACACCTAGTAGCAAACTTCTTGTTCCAAAAAAGCTTCTTATCTTGGATGTACATCTAGTACCGTTCTGCTCTCCCAAAACTAACAAATTCTTCTTTCACTTCCTCTTCTCCAGAAGAGGCCAAGGCCATTAATCCAATTGCCTAATGGCAAATGCTCGAGGATTTCTCACCTTGGAATTCCAAGGCAGGACTTTCGAAGTCTGTCATATTCTTTAGAGCAAGTCTGGTGTCCTTTTATATAGTATTGCATTCTTGCTTTAGGATGTGAATGAATGCATCAGAACTCTTGCTGAAGTGTCTCTGCATTATTTGAAGCAGCTGTAATAAACCTTTAGTTGAAGTCTTTTTATCAAGTAAGGTCAGAGCCCTTGTGTGGGGCTGAACACATCTCATACATAGCTTCATAGAACAGGATGTAGAATTTATTGTGAATGCAAAAATCTTTCCAGTTGTTTACATATATTTATTTCCATTAAGCGTCTCTTATTTAAAAAAAACAAGAAAAGAAAATCTCTCTGCCAAACCAAATATACTTGTATTAATGCATTACAATGTCCAAATGCTGTAATTAATATATTGCAAATATATAGAGCGCTTTTTATTTCTACTAAGTAAAATCAAGTTAAGTCAATACATACACAACTGTTACCCTTTTAGGATAAATATGTCGTGACTATTATTTCCTTTTAGAGTCGCTGTGTTGCCTAATGCTGTATTAAGTATGTTTTCTTAGCTTTGCCAGGCAAGCATCATGTTTCCTCTCAAAATAATAATGGAAAAGAATTAAAGACTAATAAAAAAGAAATAACTGTTCATGTATCATGCCTAGGATGTTTTTATTACCTTTCTAACTTGGTGTATATTTCTGTACAGTTGAAGTTGTGATGGTTTGTGAAGGTTCCTGTTCTAAGGCTTATTTAGGGTTTGTCTTCCCTGAAGTTTTTTCTGTTTTTTTTTCAGAAATAAATTAATAAAAGCCATCTGGAGTGAAGAAATGATAAACTAAATAATGTCATTACCATTACTGTCCTATTGGCTGTACATTATAGCCTTAGATATGATATGATGGGGAAAGTTTTTACCCAGAACTTTATATTTAATTCTGTGGTCAAACAGGCTGAACCAAAACTCTAGATACAAACTCCCCACACTTCTTGGAAAAAGGTATTAATTTTTGTAGAAAATCGCCTTTATTTTGGCCACCCTAAAGAATGCACGTCACACTTTCCTATTGCATCTTCCTATTCTGTTTTATAGGTTATAGAGGGAGATGGGATTTTAATATTTAACAGCAGTAGAGTAGATGCATTAATTATTTTTCCTCTGTTTCTTGAAGCACCATGGAGCCATTAATTGTCTTCCAATGCAAAGTCACTATTGGAAATATTTGTGCCCTTCATTCACGACCCCGAAACAAAGGGGAGGCTGTGCTAGAAACACAGGTATTACTTTCTACTGTTTCATTGCTTCTGCTGGGGTTATATTCCTACGCTGTCACTTAACTGGGTTATATTTCTATGCTATCATTTAACTGACTTCTTTTGTTCAGTCTTATATGAGAAGTTGCCAAGTTAAAACTGAGGCAAGTCCAGAAATGTGTGTTCAGTGCCTCCTCAAGCCTGACCATGGGAAGTGTTCAGCACAGAAACAGTTTACAACATATCTTCCCCTCCCCTTCAAAGCTGTCCCTTTTTGTAACCTCCTATAGATATCCTAGCATATATCTTTAAGACATCACTGATGCTGAAGTTGCAGGGCCTTTTGGTGTTGTAGAGATGCATTATGGATGCTTTTAGGAAGTTCCAATATATTTAATAGACAGGGAAATAGAATTTTGAAAAGGCTTCTCATGATTCGTTTTCTGGATGTTGCACCCCAGCACAGAGGGTGGAAATAATCCAGAAGTAGTTATTTGAGCTGTAGGTGGTTCTCCTGCAGGATGGTATCCTTGGATGATCAAGGAGAGAGTGTGTGAGGAGCAGAGGTCAGAAAAACCCACACTCCGGAACTCCAGGTCAAGCATGTGGTGAAGAGAATAGCATGTGTCAACTGAAAAGTTCTCTTACCCTAGAATAAACTTGAAAGAAAATAAAGTGAAAAACTAACCCAGGGGTCAGCAAACCATGGGGGACATGCCAGAGCATGACACGTGAAGCCATGTTGTTTGGCATGCCACAGCTGGCCTGGACTCTGGGCAGGCCCCTACTGCTGGCCACAGAGCCCAGGCTGCTCTAAACAGGAAGCTGGGAGACTGCAAGTAGGTGCACCGGGGTCCACACTGCCCTGGCTTGGCTCATTGCTGGTGGCAGGTGCATGGGCACCTTGGGTTGGACAGTGGTGAGGGGACTGGGGCCGTGCTGCCACAACAAGGTTCAGACCCCTCATGGCTCCCCCTACCATCTGCCCCTGGCAAGCCAACATCTTACAAGTCAAGGTTGAGGGTGTTTTTAGCAAAAACGTTGCTGACACCTCAAGTAACCTGAGGTTTCATAGATTTCATAGACATTAGGGCTGGAAGGG